TGTCTGGCTTTGTAGAGTCAATCTGTACAGCTAGTTCCGAACGCTTATTGAGTAAGCGTCGAGCATTAGTGTAACAGATCCGAAACCCATTTAAGCAGTTTCGTGCTTCACCCATAGTGGCTTCGGCATCATTCTCTGTCGAGGCCTTACAACTCGAAAATTTGCAATTTTGATGTCCTTTTCACCAGCGTCTAACCTAAGTTGTAGTTTTTTTGACCTCCCGTCTTTTTACTCGGTCTGCCAACGGCATGTCCTTGCAGATAAAAACTCCCAAACCCTTTAATTTACGTCCATTCTGTAAAACTAAGTCGCGTTCATTCGAATATTTGAATACAACTTTAAGTAGTCTGGATTGATCAAGCTCCAAGTTCGATAGACTACCTAGTCTGCACACCTTTTGCAGGGTGAGTCCGAGGATATTTTGAGGTATGAGTTCATTAAATGGCTATTTTATCAGCACAGTGTCATGCTCAAAACGAGTTTTTGGTTCAGAGCTTTCACTCTTCTTGATTCTATGAAAAATAACTAATCTGTCACTGTGATCACCCTTCGATTTCTCGAATGCTTTTATGGGAGCAGGATTCACCTTTATATCGTCATGTTGTTTCTTCCTTACAACCTGTACCCATTCGTCAAAGTTGCTATGAGAGGCAACCACAGTTGCGTCAAACATACTGTGGTATTCCGGAGGACTGTCGACGATTTGGGAGGTAAGGTTATGTTTCCCGCTTGAAACCGATCGAGCCTTGCCATTGAGGCTTCTAGGCGTTTCCTGCTCGATACCATTTAGAAGACGGGGGGCAGAAGGAACTTATTTTCTTGAGTTTTTGGCTGAGACAGACCTCTTTGAAGATTGTTTTTCCTTCTTTGGTTGGTGTGAGTCACCTGTTTTTGAAATGACCTGAGTTTGTTTCACACCAATTTGCATGTCGATAGAGCGAGTACTGTTCGATGTGTCCCGACCACGCTTGCCAAAACACTTTTTTGCAGCACTTACCAATGAGATGGCCTCGGTTAGCAAGCTGTTTGCATCCGAACAGCACTGTTGACAAAGCCATATGCAAACGTTTTTACTGAACCATTTGAAAGCCGCAGGCGTTTTATTCGTGCAAGCTTCGTGGTACTAGTTGTAAGATCCAAACTATGGTTTGGACTGCCGGACAGCTGTCGGAATGAGTTAGATACGCGCCCTCGCCCGTTTGAAACCAAAACAAAGTAATTGGGTAAAATGACGGTTCTATAATTTATCATAAATTTAAGTGTACATTATTACCTAAACAAATATAACCACTCAGCTATCTAACCAATAATTGTTCAACTGATGAAATCTAAACAATCACCACAAATAAATGTTATTCTATCCTGTTTGGATAGATCACGTACAGATTCGTTCAAAAGGTAAAAATTGGTCGCTCTATAACACAGAGTGTTTTCAATTCTGGAAGAGTGCTTCAATTCACAACCAAAATGCACAATTCCAGTCAACACAGGTCAAGCAATCAAAAGCAGGGATAAACCAAAAACGCTGCCGCCCAGACTTAGTATAAAGTAAAACAACATAAGTGCAGTTCGGGAAGAAACATGGGGGATTGGTAAGGGGTAGTAAAAACGAAAACTATAATAAAATACAAATATTAACAATTCAAATGTAGTCAAAAAGTTAACAATGTACAACTAAAAGAATCAATAGGAACAAAGTGCAAGTATATACATGGAGGGATTTTCACAAACACACAAAGCATTCAAAATGGATCTTACACTAGTCTTCTCACTCATCACACTGCATGCCGCTTTCAACGGGGTAAGGACAGCCCAAACGTTGTCAATTGCTTTTTTTGCGCTTTCCAGTCATTAAACAGGGGTCTTTTTAGAAAGAAGAACTAGATGCAACAATACTCAGAGACAAAAACTATCCATGACCAAAAGAAGTGGAAAACTGTAGATTGCTAGCGCCAAAAGTACTAACAGATACAATAAAAAACAACGTACACAAAAGTACCGACGACAAACTAATTTGGGAACATAAACGATACTTTTATCGAATACTTGAATTGAAATAAATTCGATTAAAGTGAAAACAGTAATCTTGATACGTAATAAACGATCAGAACAATAAAATTTACTCAGCGAGGAAAAATACTACTGTCCTTTTAATTAACGCACGCACTTGATGAGGAAGAGGTTTTCCCGAGGTTTTGATCTGTATTTCTCAACTTTGACTGTAGAAACTTTGTTTCGAAGTTCGTGTTCATGTGAATCTCGGGCAAGAGCTATCTTATATGTTGAATTAGTAAGGTTTTTGAGTAGTCCGAAGTAGAGAATCAAATTAGACTTAAGCCTTCTCTCTCAAAAAGGTGCTATTCCCAAGTTTTGGTATCGGGGAACTGTAGTCAATGACTGAGTCAGTCTTAAGTATTTTGCGGGTAAAGTCTCGTTGTATTCCTTCCACCTTTAGTATATCAGATAAGCGTACGTTAGAAAATAAGAACGAGCAGTATTCAACGATAGGCCTTACACAAACTTATAATGTTATACTTGAAAGAATGATGTATATTCTAGAACACGGAGATCTCAGCAAAACACTATTTACTCGATTTATCAGATAAAATAAAACTGAAATAAAAAATGAAAGGAAATATAAAGTTACTGACTAGAGCACGTGGTGAATAGGAAGGCAGTTTCTAGCCACTCATGTCTTTAGGACAGAAACATCTGCTTACCACAATCCTCGTATCATAGTTTGGGTCGAAGCAAACACCGAGTGACACTGGTGTTGTCTATGTATGAAAATTATGCCCAACTAATGTGTTAGCCGAGGCATAAAGCCAAGGTCTCCTAAGATATTGAGTATGGTAGGGTGTAGATGTTGTGAATTACCTCTCCCAGATTTTAATGCCTTGCTAAAATTCAAATTTGAATAAGTATTTAGGATGTAGGATGCGTAGAGCTTAATACAGTAGAAAAACGTGTCATAAAAACTGTTCTTTAAGATTTATTTTTATTTATGCACGCTGCTTCTTATTTACGGAAATATAAAAGTCTGTGGTGAATTTCCTCACTGCCGCTAAATGAAGAATGAACGCTAAAAACACTATGAAATTAATTACCTGGTGGTAAATGATGACCAGATAATAGAATGGATTATCCAGCTCGTTGACTCCTGGAAATAAGTTTGCTTTAACCAAAGCAAAAAGTGAAAATTTCCCTGAACTCAAACAACTGTCACGTCAATAGTTTTCAACCGATACACAGAAGGATTATAGTTTTGAGTGAAAGGTTTCCAAAATTCATCAATTTACTAAGAGCCTACGCTTGTATCTTGTTGTTTCTATACGGTTTCAGGCATCTAGTAATTTACAATATCTGGAGGTCTAGCCACTCGAATTCACTAATTCCAGTCAATCTAGTAGGTACTTGTGGATTTGTATATTTTGTAATTCGAGGAAAAGCGTTAGTCTCAAGGCAGTAGGGTCTCTAGATTTCTTCAGCTCTCACATTACCAGAAAAAAGGTTGGTTAATCGTGATTAAAAATCAAAATAATAAAATTAGAACACTAGGAGAAGAAAACTATTTCAAGAGAGAAAAAACAAGTAAATGAATTAATTAGTGATGCATATAGTTTGAAACAATCGAGCTGTAAGAAAGGAAGTGGAGATGATGAAATAGTTACTGATAAGCGGTAATCATATCTTAAGTTAAATTGAGACATCTATCAGGACCAGGTGATCCAAGTAAGCGATGGCAATCTATGGATGAGCACGTGTTTGTTAAGAGTTCTCTTTAAATTATCCACCTTGAAGGGTATGATTGCTTTGTTTGGTAGAGGTTGGTAGAACTGTGGTCTACTTCGATATTAGTACTGCTCTAATAATAGACCCAATCCTAAAATTGTAGATTTGTTATGATGTAACTGCTCAATCTATAAGATCTTGCGTGGAAGTCACATCTTTGTCTATCTTGATTCATCGCGTTTTAAAAATCATCAATAAATGATGAAGAACATATTTAGGCTGGAGATAGAACAGTATATTTAAAATAGATAAAAATAATGTTACATAAGCAAGATCACACATTGTTTCAGGGTTACAGGAAACATATTGTTGAATCATGGTGTCATTCCAGGGACCGGGAATTCCAGTATTCTTGGTGTTAACCCGGGGGTCAAATGAGTATTTCGCAGATCCTCAGCTGGTGCTAGAGTGCAACAGTGTTCTAAGCTTGCAGTTTCCTGGTTTAGTTGGTCGGTGAAGTTGGCCTATAGTTCTTCCAGAATTACTGCCGATCTCATGCCGGGGTAAAGGCTTCTCGGCCCTTACGCAAGCTTCGGCCGATTTCATTACGTAAAATCCTTCGTTTATGGTCAAACTCACGGTCACCCGGAGTAGACCGACGGGCTTCGATGAGTTGTAAGGAGCCTGCAGAAACCCAGTGCTTAAAAGCGGGACGTTTCGCGAACCCACAACTGACTGTCCCCGCCATTTTTATGGCGTCATGCAATTGCAACCAATGCTTATCTATACTTTTGGTCGGTGAAGTTGGCCTATAGTCCTTCCAGAATTACTGCCGATCTCATGCCGGGGTAAAGGGTGAGAGTTGGACATGGGATCAGTAAACCCATCCTGTGGAAAAAAATCTTGCTAAAAACACCAACCAGATTAAACAAACCAAACCATTTAATCCCTTCTCTAGAAGTTAAAGGGAGAATTATGACGCCTCAAGAAGAAAGCGTAGATCCTACGAAATCAGAAGGCTTATGACACTTCTACCAACAGGCGCAACAATTTTTATAGAAACATGGAAAGTTCGGACAATGTGGGAGATCGGGAAGATCATTCAAATAGCAACGGAAATGAGGAGCAGTACTCGGGACCAGTACTCGAAACCCATTGGACCGAAGCTGGACATCAAAGGTTAGATAAGTCAGAGATGCTTCTGTACTCTATTCACGATGGAGAAAATGCAATACATAATCAGTGAGTTGCTCTGATTTCATCCAAAGAAGCACGTAGAGCATTTGTGGGACGAGAATCTTACGGAACCAGAATCATCAAAGTATCGTTTAAAACAACGGAGGGAATCATGATGAATGTCATCCAGTATTATACAACCACCAATGATGGTAGCAACGACAATAAGGATCAGTTCTATGAGTGGCCGCAATCAATCATAGCTAAGTGCCCGAAAAACGACTTCACCATCCTGAGGGGAGATATAAACTCCAAAGCCGGAATGGACAACACTGGATATCAAGATATCATGAGACGACATGGACTGAAGGAGAGAAACGAAAGTGGGGAGAGATTTGCAAATCTATACGCATTCAACAAATTTGTTATAAGCGGCACAATATTCCCACACAGACGAACACACAAAGCAACATGGATTTCACTGTACTGCACTATGGAGAACACGATAGATCATATTTGTATCAACAAAAAATTCCGAGGGACAATGTGGGACACAAGATCCAGGAGAGGAGCTGACATAGCTTCAGATGAACACTTAGTTGTGGCCAAGATGTGTCTGAAGCTAAAGGATAATTGGACAATTGCGGAAACAGCACTAAAAAAGTTCAACACAACCTTCCTTCGAGATACTGACAAACAACGAATTCAAAATAACTTTCAACAAGAGCTTTACATGACCTACTCAAAGCATTGACTTTGAAGTGTCAGATTATACTGCATAGCAACAAGTATCTTCAAAAGGAATGTATCTTAACTGAAACCAATATCACGATTCAAGAAAGGAAGAACGAGAAGACAGCAATTAACAGCAGCCAAACAAGAACAGAGAAAGTCAAGACACAAGCTGAATAAACAGAAGCAAACAAGCAAGCGAAGAAGAGCATTAGAGCTGACAAGCAGAAACACATCGAAGAACTAGTAATGACAGAGGGAAAAGCTGCAAGAGAAGGAAATGTGAAACGTTTATATAAAACAATGAAGAGGCTCACAGAGAAATATTGTAAACCAGAGAGATTATTCAAAAACAAAGAAGGCAAGCCAATCACTGAAATTTAAGAACAACCGGACAATTGCGTAGAGGACTTTGAAGAACTCTTGAACAGACCAGTCTCACTGAACCCACTGGACATTGAAGCAGCACACACAGACATTCCTATAGATATCACTCCACCAACGATGGATGGCTATTAGACAAATGAAGAGTGGGAAAGCAGCAACCTGACTAAACCAGCTGGAGCACTGAAATCAGATGCACTACTATCGGTACTAGGAAAAGCTCTCAACAGTGTTGTTGAGCCAGATGAAAGGTTCAGTAGACGCCCGACTTCGAGATCAACAGACCGGATTCACTAAGGATCGGTTGTGTACAGACCGAATCGCAACACTACGGATCATCGTTGAACAATCAATTGAATGGAATTCGTCACTATACACCAACTTCGTTGACTTTGAGAAAGTATTTGACAGTGTGGATAGAGGAACCTTCTCTAACACTATGGTGTACCTGAGAAAACCGTCAACATCATGAGAAATTCATACGACGGACTACACTGCAAAGTCGTGCATGGAGGACAGCTGACAGACTCATTCCAAGTGAAAATCGGTGTTAGACAAGGCTGCTCACTCTCTCTCTCTCTCTTTTCCTTTCATCTGGTGGTCGACTGGATTATGAAGACCTCCGCATCTCAGGGAAAGCACGGAATACAATGGAGAGCTTGGATGTGGCTACATGATTTGTTCTTTGAAGATGACCTAGCTCTTCTATCCCATACACACCAACAAATGCAGATGAAGACAACTAGTATAGCAGCAGCCTCTGAATCCTTAAACCTTAACATACATAAGGGAAAAAACCAAGATCCCCAAATACAACACGGAGAACATCAACCTAGTCACACTTGATGGAGCTCTGGAAGAGGTGAAGACGTTCGTGTTACTGGGCAGTTTCATTGGTAAACAAGGAGGATCTGATACAGAAGTAAATGAGAGGGCTGACGAAACAAGAGCAGAATTCCTACAGTTGAAGAACATATGTAACTCGAAACAATTGGCAGCTAACAACAAAGTCAGAATCTTCAATACGAACGTCAAGATAGTTCAACTGTACGGAGCTGAAACTTGGAGAAATACTACAGCCATCATCAACAAAGTACAAGTATTTGTAAACAATTGTCTACGCAAGATACTCAATGTTCGTTGGCCGGATGCCATCAGCAACAGCCACTGTGAGAGAGAGAGAGAGAGAGAAAGAGAGCAAACCAGCATTCAGCTAAAGTGGAAATCAGGTAAACACACTTGTAGCGGATAGGTGACACACTGCGGAAATCATCAAACTGCATCACGAGGCAAGCCCTAACTTGAAATCCTAAAGGGAAACGAAAAAGCTGAAGACTGGAGAAAATATTGGGCTGCGAACTGGAAGCAGACATCCGAAGGATGAATAGCAACTGGAAATAACTGGAAAGTATTTCCCAGGACAGAGTAAGATAGAGAATGCTGGTATGCAGCCTATGCACCTCTACGAGGGGTAACAGGCGTAAATTAGTAGGTACAACTCCTAATTATTCTGTCCTTAATAGCTACCAAGTAGACAATTATTGTCACTTTACAACTTTTTCGCCAGCCGATTATTACATAAATTCCTTTTAATATATGATTCTTAATTCTTGACAATACACCACGTCAGGTATTTTAAACATTTAGCAGCATTCTATATTACTATAAAATACTGTTTTAGCAAATAAAACTATACTGTGCAGCTTAAGTAAGTGAAATTGTAGTGGCATTGGATAATAGCCACACAATCCACAAAGCTGTGAATACGAGACTACTCAGAAAATAGATATTCAATATTTAACGCGGAGAAATACCGAACAATGGAGAAGGCGCGAACAATGAATTGAATGGACTGGGTTAATCGAGTGGCATGGCTCGGCCATGCAGGCGTGGTCTCTGCTGAATGTTAACTTATATCTTCTATTCATATTAAATATATTGTTCTTTCTCTAGCCTAACCTTGTTCTTCATCATGTATTGGTAATTGATACGATACAGTGAGTTGGTGTAGTCGATGGTGTGACTTCCACGTAAGATCTTATAGATTAGGCAGTTATATCATGATAAATCTACAAATTTAGGATTAGGTCTATTATTAGAGCAATAGTAATATCATAGTAGACTATAATTCTACATTGGTGAGCCCAACTAAAGAAACGCAACCTATTATTGTTAATCCTTATTTCCACCTTAACCTTCTCAATCGGATTTTATTTTTGTAAACCCACTATTCTAATAGTCCTTTGATTAATAGTCACATATATTATCGTAATGTTATATCTATTAGTTCACATAACTTACTAGCTCAACCGATAATAAAAGTTGATCATCTATATCATCTAATTAGCTTTGATGGTTCGTTAACAAGCTTTAATAGCATTTACCTGCTTCAGCGACATAGACCTGTTTAAACGTCAAGCTCTAGCAAATATGACCTGTAAATAGCGTAAATATACATTGACTAACAATGCAATCAAGGATTGAATAGTTATCTGGATCTAATTCTTAGTGTTCCTTCGCTTAACACCTCATCCTGTTTTAAACTATGCACTATCCTGTAATATCTTTTCTTCCGACCACTGCCTGCCTAATTTCATATTCTCGAGTTCCATTACCAAACAACAAGGATGACACTTCTCCAAAAACACGGTGAGTTCCAGCTATAAGTTTTCTGCAATCATAAGGTCATTTTTAGATGATTCGTTCAATGACAACCACACAATTATCTGGGTTCATTCGATTGTTCTGATCCGAGCGAGTGGCAAAAACCTCAACAGCATCAAGCACCCTGGAATTAATTGCCATACTGCATGTTTTATTCTGGATGCTTTTGGATCAATACTACTCACGAATGGCGTTATATATGTCGTCCACTGAATAATCTAATTTTCAAAAATAATCAAGGCGAGTTCAACTATTTTACTGGATGATTTTTTTTTGTACTTAAGATGTATATGTTTTTCAGTTGCTTTTGCCACATATTTGTAAGTGTCACTAAGCTAAATGCAGTAACTTCTTATGGAATGTTTGTTTATAACGCGTCATATTCCTGCCTGAAGTTTCACAAGCAGTCTTAACTTTAAAATTATTTTCTGGTCATGTTCATTATTTTTAAATTTTTATATACGTCAACAACCTGCATGTTAACCTGGCCCGTACATACGTTTTACTATATCTTCATATCTTTTGAATTTAGAAATCATCTGAATCGCCTTTAACATTCATCAGTAAACCCATCATAGTCGTTGTTGCTAATCGTATTTGGGTTTATGGATTGGTGTATCATATTAGCAGCCTAAAATGCGAACATAGTTTAGATAATAAGATTAAAAATTTAGGTACTATCAACTGCACTAGTAAAATAACTAAATCCCTAGGTGGCTGTTGGCTAAACAAACGTTTAAAATCAAAACTCCGTAGCCTACTAGGATTAACACTAAACGAATATTTCTGAATTAAAAATTATAATATAATTAGGCGTCTCGGATTCTGTAACGTTACAAATTTCTGATAATTTTGAATCACCTAAAGCAACAATACCTATTTTTCCACTGACTAATCCTCAATCAACACTATAACTAGTTAAATTTAATAGTTTCAGGATATCGTCATAAAGCATTGTCATAACTTGACAATCACGTAATATGACTGATAAAATTAATGAAACTATTAACGAAATCGGTCGACAAATTGACTTATAATTACCATTAAATGGTGTTGTTTTCTTGGTATCTTCATTCATCACAGATGATTACAGTATGTTTCTCTCTCAGTTGCTCATTCAGTAAATATCTCAAAACTTTGTCAGTCTAATTGATGGTTTAGCGACACAATCATGCATGCAAATAATCAGTATAAGCAGTCGAGCAAATCTCCTGCAAACTGAAAACATCAATGTCGAATTTACCCCAACACTGACTAAGGTTCAAGCCATTATCATAGACATGAGTTGGGAGTGTACTCCCCCTGGTTACAACTTATGTACTCCCTGATAATCACATGAGCATCAATCACTATTAATCATCTTGTAAAAACTTATTTAGCCAAGTCCATCTTGCAGCACCACATCACTTCGTAATATGACCCATAGGCTTAACTGATTTTAATAACTTATAACCACTATATCTCAATTAAATCGTATTCCGCCTTATAATAAACTGCATACTTGCAACTAACTTGTATGCCCAATCAGCCGGCAAGTATAAATACAAATAAATAGTCTATCGCAGATCAGAACATTTAGTCTAGAGCATGTCTCTTACGAACACACTCATGTTCAATGATTTGTTCCTAGCTATCTGTCCAAAATTCATATAATTATCACTAACGTATTTAAATTTTGTTTTGATAACCATTCATGTGTATTAGTAGTATTACTAAATTCTATCACGGTAAAGTAAAAATGAGGTTGAGAAAATCTCCCCGTAACTAAATAAACCGTACCAAACTAACTGGAACACTAGTTGGAATTCTTCTCCACGGTATACTTTTGTTCCTTCAGTTAGCCTACTAATACATATGCAATTGGAATTCAACTCATATGGACAACTTACCGGCATAATCGTTATTTGATTTCATAATTTAAACCAAAACTAATACCAATATTAACATTTCTACAATATTCATCACTTTAATATTTCTAAACACAAAATACTTACTACCTATACGTTAAGTTATTAACCAACGGCTATTAACACGCATCGTTTTATTATTATTATTGTTGTTATTGTAATCCCATTTTTTATAGCCCAAATAATCTTCACCCAAGTTTTCATTTCAAGCATGTTAAGCATGAAGGCAGATATTTAAAAATTATTACATGTATTTCCCGACCAGATGCTGCCGCTTTCTTTTTGATTTATCTTTCAGCTTATCAATACCCGGAGGATTCTTATTATCCTTGGTAACCTCCGGCGCGCGACGATCCCATCCAATTTGGTATCGAACCAACATCACGTTGATTCTGGTGGGAGAGTAGTGTAGTGGCATTGGACAATAGCCACACAATCCACAAAGCTGTGAATACGAGACTACTCAGAAAATAGATATTCAATATTTAACGCGGAGAAATACCGAACAATGGAGAAGGCGCGAACAATGAATTGAATGGACTGGGTTAATCGAGTGGCATGGCTCGGCCATGCAGGCGTGGTCTCTGCTGAATGTTAACTTATATCTTCTATTCATATTAAATATATTGTTCTTTCTCTAGCCTAACCTTGTTCTTCATCATGTATTGGTAATTGATACGATACAGTGAGTTGGTGTAGTCGATGGTGTGACTTCCACGTAAGATCTTATAGATTAGGCAGTTATATCATGATAAATCTACAAATTTAGGATTAGGTCTATTATTAGAGCAATACTAATATCATAGTGGACTATAATTCTACAAAATCGTTAAAAAGAAAATTCTACTCGCTAAATTGTCTTCTTTGTTCTTCAATGACACAATGTGTCTCTCTCGTTATTGTTAAAAGTTGTTTTCAGTCAATAAATCATCATACTTTTCTTTCGAAAGTGGGTTAAAAAATATTTCTTAATGTTTAAAAGAGATCACTGTCTATTCTATACGCAACACAGAATCATTTCTAACTGACACAGGAAAAAACGAAATAATACTAACTATTCCATTTAATTTTGTGATGGAAATTGAGGAACAGTGTATCTGTCTGCATCACACAATCACAGAAAGTCAGATATTATTGCAATGGTTCGACACATTATTTTGAACCAGGAAGATGAAATCAGTCAGTCAGTCATAATCACTGCAAAGCCTGGAGCAAATATTCACCAACATAAGTCGTCACACAGTTTCAGCATAACGACAAAAATGGAGACAGAAATTAAAGGTGGATGTGAAGAAATAATGGAACTAAAGACCTAAAGAAGGATAAAGAGGGGATGTACCTGGACAGTTGTAAAGGACTCCAATCCATGCTACCCAATGTCTTCAACCACTACTCGTAACAAGGGTTAGTTCGTGAGTAATGGCGTGTACCTGTTCATGCAGAAATATATTATTATTTATTGTATTTTAGCTTCAAGATCGATCTGTAAAAGTGTACTTGAGCCACGAACTTTGAACTTTTTTCTCCCTTAATTTTAAGCTGCCGTCAAAATCCTTTATCGATACTTTCGAACCGTATTTAGGTTCTCCTATTGTTTGTTGTAAGCGTTCTGTGTTTTTCTTGAATCGGAATCTTTTTTTCGGAAGTTTGCTTTGCATGAGGTACATTGTGTAAGATCGCATTCCGAATTGTATCCCACACTATCTTCCGGCGGTTATCCATCGTAGGCCTCTACTACTCTGTTGGTCGTGGAGATTGTCGAAAATGGTCCATTATTATGGTGAAGTCTTCCCTAGAGTAGCTGGATTAGGGAGCATTTACGTTTTTGATCACTCTGAATATAATCGTCCTTGTTCACTACTCCGAATTGGTGATTTTACATGAACATTGAACAGAAGCTGACCTTGGGTTATCAAATTGTCCAGTCCCTAACCCTATATTATCATGTCACCCATATGTTCAGTCAATCCTGAACTATTAAAGGGCATGATAAGTCGTTAATGAAACCGCCTTATAGATGTGGAAACTTGCTTTCTGGTTGAAATCCAGATGTAGTGTTTACTATAGAACTTGGATTATCTTATATTTCTAGGTGTTAAAAAACACCAATACGACCATATCATACTTGGTCGTTCGTTTTTAGGGCTTTGAAGTGGCTATTATTGTTTACTTAAATTCCTGGTATTATTTTATTTACTCTCTCACATAGGAAAAGTGTCATATGTTGCATGCTAAGTTGTCGTCCATGACATCGGCGGATAGCTAAGCCTCAGCTGAAATCGTAGTCGTCAAATTTAACTGAGAGTACATGTTTCCAATTTCTCTTGATTTACTCCTTTTTTCCTTGACGTTGCAATGTAGGAAATTATGTGTATTTGAAAAAGAGAACTCTGGGTTTAAAATGATCTGTTCCACGATCGGAATAAAAAACTGTTCAACCACTAGTCTTGCTTCTTGAATGGGCAAAACGAGGGGGATATCTACCTGCACAAAACCTCTACAGGATTACATGCATTCAAGGTTACAAAAAGATCATTCTTTAAAGTGGGCTGGAAAGTTGTTCAGGAGCTTCACGTCTCCGCTTTCTGCCAGTACAGCGTGCCTCGTTAGCGGCGTCACAGCCTCAGTGTTCTACATCATGGCATGCTGACCAAAGTCAGCCGAAAGTAACGTGTACTCCATTCGGCATTTTAAAGTTGTCTTCACGATCAAAGTCGTGTCTTTTGTGGCCCGTAGTTCTCGACTCCATTTAGAGCGTACGAATGTTTGTATTAACCTTTTCTCGCATATCATCGTCGACTTGAATCGCGTTGGTCAATAACGGAATTAAATAAGTCGAATAACGAGAATTGACTTGTGAATACATATATTTTGTACATGAAGCGAATGAAACAGGGCAAAGCAAAATGACACGCAGGGAAGATGGCTGGGAAGCCAACTCCATTTTAGTCAAGCGTTACTCAATATTTATAGTCAGACAAAATTAAGCTACAGACATGCAGTGAGTCATGGGATATGAAGTGTACACACATATACGCTCATATAAAAACAGTCAAGACTGATAAGCGAATAATTGACAAGGTCAACATATGACTCAAGTAGAATGAATAGAATGGAATGTCCGAAAGCTAGAATAAGATACATGGGCTTAAAATAATGACTGACACTACAGGTCCCACAACATCTGATGTGTCTAGGAAGGTCACTCCTAGAGTTGTACTAGTAGGTTTCAAGTCTTCTTTTCATTCGGAAACCCGAAAATACGTGAAATGCCTAATTTTCAGGTTTTCTAGTTCCATAAAGGCATGCATAGGATAGGAAAATGACTGACTGAGAGATCAGAATGTTTTTTTGGATAGATTTTTGTCGACCATTCAAGGTCGTCCGTTAGTACTTTTCTAAAAAGGCTTCAACATATGCTTCAGTTCTCCTCCAATAGCTTGTATCGTCCTTTTGGAATTAGGACTGTCTTCGTTTATACCTGTTAGAGGCTGTTACATACGTAGATACTTTTTGATTCGGCTATATCTCAATTCAATGGTCCTGAAGCCTTATGATAAAAGTGAAATCGATAATGAACGATTATTATCAGTTGCGTCCTGTATAATTAGAGGTAAGTCTATACGAGGAGCATAAAACTGGAAACCATACATTTATAACGGATATTGTGAGCGATTTTATCTGTTTGATGCATATTATTGGATTATTTTCGTAAAGTAAGTAGGTTAATCTACTTATGTGATCTCGTCGTTCAGTTACTATATTTATCCACGTTTATTTAATTATAAGTCATACTAATACTTGTCGGAATGATAATCCATCTTTAAGTAATTTTCTTTGGTAAATCCATTCACTGGCATGATACGATCACCAATAATGTCAAACATATACCTTATGATCAATGGTTTAGTACATTGTTCAGTCGCTTGTAGGCCTTAGATTAAACATCAGTAAATATCAATAATTGGTGTACGGTACTTGAGTGGGAACTCACGTATCTTTTGTCAAGTCTTAACTCGTCTTTATACGTCGTTTTCCTAACAAATAACGTGTATAAAGAAGTTTAGACTTGTACTTATTCCTTTATGGGATTATTCTTTTTCAGTATCTCAATGCAAAGACATTGGAGAAAATTGATCACTGTAATTAGCCAGCATTTCTGAAAGATTGCCTATTAACTTTAATGTGGTTATGGGCTCACTTAAACTTTAATTAGATATGAAAGTACCTAAATAGCTATGTGATCCCGGAATCAGTCAGTCAGCTACAACATATTACCAGGCACATATGCTTATTAGTCCAATTTGCCACACTTCATTAGCACAACAAAATGAACACCAAATTCATAGTAGTTACTTCAATGGTAGTAATATATAAAAGAGTGTGAGTATAAGGATATAAAACAGGAAGGAAGAATTAGTTCGTAGAAAGAAAGGTATAAAGTTATTCTAGCCTCACGGTTTGGGGCAAGAAAAAGAATGTATACACCGACGTCATTGTGACCGATTCTGAGCCATGTCACCCAGAGTCTCCAACCATTGGTTACAATATTCACGTGAACCCCAACCAAGTAGTCTGCATCTATCAACATGGTCTAGAATAGCTTACAATCTTTAGTTAAGTACCAAATGACTTCATCGTCAGTGAAGATATATGGGTGCTTTATAATTCGAATTTACTAGCTTGATATATTTTGAAGTTGTGTTATATTGGTGGGCCATTACCATATATGTATTCAGTCATATAAATACGTAGAACATAATTGTATGCTGTTCTGTAAGTTCACTCTGCACCAGCTACATAGGTGTGGTAAATTATTCCAGTTTTAATTTTTGTAACAGGATTTTTAACAGTGCTCAACGTTAATGTGTAGAACCGATGATAAATAGGGAACATTTCATGATTACAAAAATTGTGATGCAGCTTTTATGATGAAGTGTTGAGAGTGGTAATTATAAATTAGGTAACCGCACGCTTGTCCGTATTAAAACAAGGTATTAATGTATGGTCGATTAGTAAGATTTCCTCCCATGTATTTTAAAAATTTTCAATACATCGTAAGTTTCTCATTTCCGATTCTTGAAGAGTACTATATTTACCTATTGGTATATCTAAAGCATTTTGTCTGGTTGTTAAGCATACCTTGAAGTTAAAGACCGAATTTATCCTGCCGTGTTATTCACAAACTATTATTCTATTGACGGGGACGTAATCATTATTGCCTCCCACTGTCAACTGTGTTATTCGATACTTCTTATATTTACATTATTACATGATTTTCCTTCTCTATTTTGTGCCAAAGACTGACATGTCATTTTATATAGTCCAGTTCTAGCTACATCATTACTTCAAGCGTAATTTGTGAAAAAAGCAATAAATATACAAAATTTAATTAGGTGAATAAAATGTACAGACAAATAGCTTTTAAGCTAACTATAAATAAAGAGTACTTGCAACCGGGCCGTATTATTAGCCAGTACAGTTCGTGGCCTGCATCCAAGTATCTTGTGAGTGAGTTAATTAAAATAAAAACAGAATAGAATGCACAAATCAAATCAATAAAACTAGAGCAGCACTATAGAGAAATATTTTTTGCTTAGCAGATGATCAGTGTTAATTTAATCAACATACGTAACACTAAGTTGACTGTCAATCAATATTCTGAAATAATCACAACATAAGAACACTATGGTTGTCTGAACAACCACTGTACGAGAGCCGCAGATAAAGATTCAGGGTTAAAACTTTGAAGTAGGGTTTACCTAATTTAAAAGATTTTATAAAACGTCTGAAAGAAATTGTAGACTTTGTCAACTACGACTGTTAAACAACAAATTTATTCGTCACACTACGTATTCAAAGACCTGTCAAAATGGAAGGTTATTCATGGCATTTTTGACACTTCTAATCCATCCTAAACGGTGTTATTTATTGTCATAATATTGATATTGGGTTCTCTATACGACAATTGTTTATGATCAGAACCCAAGTACTCTTTATTTATAGTTAGCTTAAAAGCTATTTGTCTGTACATTTTATTCACCTAATTAAATTTTGTATATTTATTGCTTTTTTCACAAATTACGCTTGAAGTAATGATGTAGCTAGAACTGGACTATATAAAATGACATGTCAGTCTTTGGCACAAAATAGAGAAGGAAAATCATGTAATAATGTAAATATAAGAAGTATCGAATAACACAGTTGACAGTGGGAGGCAATAATGATTACGTCCCCGTCAATAGAATAATAGTTTGTGAATAACACGGCAGGATAAATTCGGTCTTTAACTTCAAGGTATGCTTAACAACCAGACAAAATGCTTTAGATATACCAATAGGTAAATATAGTACTCTTCAAGAATCGGAAATGAGAAACTTACGATGTATTGAAAATTTTTAAAATACATGGGAGGAAATCTTACTAATCGACCATACATTAATACCTTGTTTTAATACGGACAAGCGTCCGGATTTTCTGGTTTGTCAGTGTTCCTTGCCAAACAGTAAATTTTGTAGTGGTTTCGTTTAGGCGTGCTCGCCTGTCGAGTGCTCAAAATTTCGGTGTTATTTTAGTATTGTCAACAGATGTAGTCTATTTGTTACATTTAGATGGACTATCGCCAGATGATAGGTGTTTTCCGGATAACTATTTTTCGGATCATTCTTAATCACAAGAGGTCGTACAGTTGATACTAAAGTTTTTTTTTCACCTAGATTCTATCTGATCATGCTGGAACAACTGGCGATTCCATCCGCTGAATACTGTATTTTTAAGACAATCAACTGACTATTGTAGATTAAGGATTCATTTGATTGAATATTATGGCAGATTTAACTTGTCCTACTGTAATAGATGCACATATCAAAATTGATTTCGTTCGTGTTTTAGAATCCCATTTAAAATATGTCACGCTGCTTAACAAGTAGGTAAGATGGAAAGCTTGAGAAAGGTCAGTGATGTAAATTACAACAGACGAGAGAATTAGGCTAGCCATCAGACTTGTCGTGGGAATGATTGGGACCGGTTACTATTTATTTGTTTATTTGAACACGTAAATATTAGTGCAAAGGAGCACCGAATACATAGGCGCCACACAAATCACTTAACTTGTGCGTGAGCTGTGATACTGCAGGGTGCCCAGAGCGAAGCAGGTGGTTTTCTTAGGGGGTCACACTCCAAGCCTTCGACCTAAAGGTCTGATCCATAGGGCAGTGGAGCAACGTCAGGAGATGAAGTCACATGGTAGTCGATGGCCAATAATTGGTTCATACGCCATTTGTTCCCTTGGGATCTTGGAGCCCATGTGAACCATTGGTTTGGAATCAGGGTTTTCCAACTCCTCTAGGTGAACTCTCTTTATCCATCAACTCAGTTTATTTTCTGGACATTCGCTTCTCATCCTCCCAATTTCGTAAACAACACCCTCGTCGCGAGAAGGCAGTGAGTAGGACTTATCTGGCAGTTGTTGTGTGCACATGGCCATGTGAGAGCATTTCGAGATGAAGAGCGGACTCGCCTCACCTTCGGCCATACCAGCGCACTTGGGAAATTGTTATAAATACGAAAGTAACTAGCGAAAGCATTGAATTGATGTCCTAGTAAACGCCACTGTGAATACGTAAGAAACTTTAGGTAAAGTACTTTTATTTAAAGAACACAATAAAACTAATGTTATTAAGTGCGAGAAAACAATGCAACTCAGTGCACTTAAAATACTTTTGTTTGCGTTTATATCCAGTAAGGGATAAACTGTTATCGTTTAGTATTTGTTTAATATTTAAATTTAAAGATTACGGAAACGAGCGCTCTTTATCAATCTCCAGAACACATATATTCTCACAGGAGTATACTTTTTCACTACTATGTTTTTAAGTACCATTTAACAACTCATAGAAATATGTGCTCGGTTAAAAAAATATAGCTTACTTTCGATTGTTTTTAAATAATATTTACTTCATAAACGGTTAAGTTTAGACGAGTAATCTTTGCGGTTGTCTCGTGTTTAGAACATGAAATTGTTATTAATGGATTTTTGCTTCACGTTATGGTAGGTAATCATGCAATCATCAAATTTTAAATTTGATTAACATTGTGAATGGTCATTGTTTGATTGTGGCAATAAAAGCATTGCATTTTGTTTCAAAATTTTGTTTGTGTTAAACTTTTTAACACAATAATTAAACGCTATTATGAACCTCTACGTTAGTCAGAGTCTGTTGAATTAGAAACGTCATACACAGTTCGGTCATATTAACAGAATATCTTAACTACTAATGCCTGTCTTTGAAGAGTTCACATAGGGTGTTATTTAACTATTATCATTTTCTTAACTTGTTTGCCTCAAATGAGGCCCAATAATATACACAACCTTATATATCTTTATACGTCAATAAAGTTTCTAAACGTCGAGGATAGAAAACTCAAATATATATATATATATAACATTTTCCTTACTGAAGCAAAATGAATCAAGCGTTTGTAATGCTTCGAATTCCGAACGCGTTTTCTTACTTTTATATGTCATTCGATTTCCAACTGTCATATCTCTTTATTTTTCCTTCTACATACTTCTTAAAATGGCGTCGACATTTTTAATGAGTCAATGACCAGAGTTCTATTTTTCTTTACTCCTGTAATATGTGTTGATATTTTAGAGTGATTGGCAGACAATCTGAGCTTTATGATAGATAGTGAGTTGCTTACTATGTATAGGAAATATATCGGATACCTCTGTTTCTACATTTCTGATGACAATGAAACATATGAAGTCAGCAAACCACAAATAAGGTCACCAGAACAAACTGATCCAAGAGTCATGGAATAGTTTAAAGCTCATATCAGTATGAAATAGAATCTGATGAAGTTTTGGAAAAAGACAATAAACGCTTCGCAACTAAATCATCTTTCTTAGTGAACTTGATAATGCTAAAATCTCGCAAATTTCATGCGCGACTTAGGTTGACAAACGATAGTCCAGCCTTCTGTGTCCTTGCCAAAATCTTGGGGATGATCAGGTTACCGCTAGTTATTGAATTCAACATTTAGAAAACGTTTGGGTTCACAGCAAACTAAACATTTTGTTTTATTAAAAATATGCTAAATAAACAAAATTTCCTCAAATAATTCTACTTACAGGATGTTAAAGCTTTTATGTCTTTTTAGCTTCTTTGTTTACCATTTTAATCAGCCGTAAAGGAAATACGAGCAAGCAAAATTTTTTGTTTCTTAACAGAACCAATGGTTTGGATTGGTCTACTTTTTAAAGTCGTCCAGATAAAGGTTCTGACATTGTTATGATGAATATAAATACCTATATTTCAAAGGTATCCTATTTTCTCTCTGATACCTGCAAAAGTTTTTGTATCGCTTTAAGTTGTCACATCATCAGTTAGAATTAATAATCTGATGTTTAGTTTACATCATCTCCAAAAATTTATTTTCTGTTATGTTTCTGTTTCTTTTAGATCGTCTTTATTTCCTATCTTGCAAAACTCCACCAAGAAGTAATTCTTCCATTCACTTCTTTTCCATTGATGAAGAATTATGCTATGAAAAGTATGTTGTAGTTTAAGTTAATCATATTACTATTATCACTTATTATTATTATTATTATTATCCATTTTTGTCAGTTTTTATGCAGATTTCGGTCCACTGAGTCTTGGTCAACTATACAAATACTGTAATAAACTGAACAAAAAGCTCAAGGTAACAATTATTGAAAAGCTTTCATTATTCTTGTCTTTTCTTTATATTAGTCTGGTAGCTTAAAAGAAAAGAAAATTGCACACTTTACATCACATGACTCACGTAAACGAGCGAATGCTGCATTTCTCATTGGAAGTTATCAGGTACACATTGAAATTCGAAAAAAGATATATATATATTTGTATATAACTTACTAGATCATATATTTGGGACGCACACCAGAAGAAGCGTATAAAAATTTAACTTTAAATGATAATCGACCATTTCTCCCTTTTCGGTAAGTCTATAAAAGAGGTGGATTTTGCACAGTATGATGGGTACTATGGATATATATATATATATATATATATATATATATATATATATATATATATATGCAAACTTAGGACTAAGTATTGCGGTTAGAAAATTGAAGTTAGAGATAGGAATTAAGGTTGATATTTAAGGTTAGAGTTAGAACGGTGGAATACATTGTAGCCATGTAGATTCATGCTTCTAAAAATAGTTTTTGAATCCAGTCGTGAAATGTGCATTTATATTTGCTTGTGTACATAGCTGTAAAGTTTATCAACATCAATTAACACATAGACACACCAAATTACAGAAGTTTTACAAGTTATCGGTATTTAACAGATGGGTCAATTCAGTAAGATTAACGTGAATTCGTGTGCTGTTACTGCCCGATGTGCAATGTTTTATGGTGTAGAAGTAGGTTGGGAGAAAGCTAAGGGCGGCCAGACCAAAATATGGCACAAATCCATGAAGTCACTGACAAGTAGACTGAACCATGTTGGTAGGTGTAGACTACCCGGTTGGGATCCGTGAGATGATAGCAACCGATGGTTACAGACCTTGAATGACATGGTTCAAAATCGTTTGCAATGACGCAGGTGCATCTTCTCTTTGTGTTCTCCCAAATTCTAATCTCCTGATTTCTTCATGTCCTTTTTTCCTCTTTCCAAATTTATTTCACTAGATTATACTCCTTGAATATCATATTTAAACACTAATGTTTTCGATTACTGCTTATACTCTTACTACCTCTACCACTATGGGATTTGAATAGAAAATTGTATCACTGTGCTAATGTGGTATGGCAACTCGGACTGATGTACATACGTACAAAGTTCTACATTGTTACTGACTGACTGAACGTGAATTCGTCATTTAATGATTGAAAGTTAATAATTCAGAACAATAAGCACCGTACCTAAAATGAATTTTAACTAAACTTCTAAAACACTTGTGAGATTTGTGATCATTAGGATTACTTAGAGGGAACATTCATGATTTGTAGTGCTTACATTTTATACGGTCAGTTCGTTGGCTATAAAATAGTTCTTTCGTGTTGTCGAGGCTTGTACACTTAGACTTGTTAACTAATCTTAACATTACACTGTTTTGTTTATGGCTTTTTGTCTGATAAAAAGATGCTTATTTTCTTACTACTAAGTCAGTTGAACGTAGAAAGATGATCAGATTGATATCTAGTTAGGAATTAAGCGTGACATTTTATTTAGTTGTATGTTGAATATTTAGTTCAGAAACTGATGACTTAAGATCAATAACCGAGTATATTTTATCTTCATACATTAATTAATCAATTACATTCAAATGATCACCGATTAAACACTTGAGTACTGAATACAGGCATTGATTTAAATTCTCAGGGTAATTTTGATAAATAATAAATGCTAAAAATCGAGAAAAAAACGATAATAAACTGGAAGTTCTTTCTGAATTGAGATCAATTTTTTCTAAAAAAAAATAGTTTTTTACAGACTCATTTCTTTAAATTAGATGTCATTTAGACTTTTGAAACATGGTATGCAGCTAATGTGTTAAATGTTTCTCCTTGAAAACTTTACCGTATATTTCACATAAGATACATGACTAAAACGTATGATATTAATAAGAATTTTTTGTTGTTGAAAAAACTGTATTATATATGTCATTTATCAAATATAAAGTTGTAGATTGTCATAAAGAAAGATGATCAGTCAGAAAAAATTATCACAACCGGGTATACTAATATTGAAAAATGAAAAATTGACTTAGTTTCACTTCAAACTGGTGTTACCGTCATATGAACAGCTAAAAAATAAGTGCATTTGTTAAAAAAGTACAAAATTACCTGGTGATTATTATTGTGCTAGCATCGCACACATCCATATAAATATATATATATATATATATATATATATATATATATATATAGTAGTCCTCCCGGTGTAACTCTAGCTGTGAAATATGGTCTATGAAACTAAAAGTCATGGGTAGGACATATAGTTTTCATAGTAGGTGTCTCCGAACATATCGCTCGCGTATCGTTAAATGTTGATGTTAAACTCGGTATTGCACAGTGTTGGGAAATCGGTTGGTTAGGTTGTATGTCTTTATCGATTGAGGTGGTTAAAACATGCTTTAAGTATGCCTAACCACCCCTACCTCAACATGAGGTGTTTGTTGGTGTACGAGCAAATTGAAAGATAGCCCACAGCGACCAAACAAGTACTTTTCATCAGTCTTTGGAGTCACCAACTATTGGTCTTGGTCATGTTGGTAGTACAAAATATCTGGTTGAGGTCCATGTGGTAATCATTACGAGTAGTGGTTGAAGACATTGGGTAGCATGGATTGGAGTCCTTTACAATTGTCCAGGTACATCCCCTCTTTATCCTTCTTTAGGTCTTTAGTTCCATTATTTCTTCACATCCACCTTTAATTTCTGTCTCCATTTTTGTCGTTATGCTGAAACTGTGTGACGACTTATGTTGGTGAATATTTGCTCCAGGCTTTGCAGTGATTATGACTGACTGACTGATTTCATCTTCCTGGTTCAAAATAATGTGTCGAACCATTGCAATAATATCTGACTTTCTGTGATTGTGTGATGCAGACAGATACACTGTTCCTCAATTTCCATCACAAAATTAAATGGAATAGTTAGTATTATTTCGTTTTTTCCTGTGTCAGTTAGAAATGATTCTGTGTTGCGTATAGAATAGACAGTGATCTCTTTTAAACATTAAGAAATATTTTTTAACCCACTTTCGAAAGAAAAGTATGATGATTTATTGACTGAAAACAACTTTTAACAATAACGAGAGAGACACATTGTGTCATTGAAGAACAAAGAAGACAATTTAGCGAGTAGAATTTTCTTTTTAACGATTTCACTTACTTAAGCTGCACAGTATAGTTTTATTTGCTAAAACAGTATTTTATAGTAATATAGAATGCTGCTAAATGTTTAAAATACCTGACGTGGTGTATTGTCAAGAATTAAGAATCATATATTAAAAGGAATTTATGTAATAATCGGCTGGCGAAAAAGTTGTAAAGTGACAATAATTGTCTACTTGGTAGCTATTAAGGACAGAATAATTAGGAGTTGTACCTACTAATTTACGCCTGTTACCCCTCGTAGAGGTGCATAGGCTGCATACCAGCATTCTCTATCTTACTCTGTCCTGGGAAATACTTTCCAGTTATTTCCAGTTGCTATTCATCCTTCGGATGTCTGCTTCCAGTTCGCAGCCCAATATTTTCTCCAGTCTTCAGCTTTTTCGTTTCCCTTTAGGATTTCAAGTTAGGGCTTGCCTCGTGATGCAGTTTGATGATTTCCGCAGTGTGTCACCTATCCGCTACAAGTGTGTTTACCTGATTTCCACTTTAGCTGAATGCTGGTTTGCTCTCTTTCTCTCTCTCTCTCTCTCTCTCACAGTGGCTGTTGCTGATGGCATCCGGCCAACGAACATTGAGTATCTTGCGTAGACAATTGTTTACAAATACTTGTACTTTGTTGATGATGGCTGTAGTATTTCTCCAAGTTTCAGCTCCGTACAGTTGAACTATCTTGACGTTCGTATTGAAGATTCTGACTTTGTTGTTAGCTGCCAATTGTTTCGAGTTACATATGTTCTTCAACTGTAGGAATTCTGCTCTTGTTTCGTCAGCCCTCTCATTTACTTCTGTATCAGATCCTCCTTGTTTACCAATGAAACTGCCCAGTAACACGAACGTCTTCACCTCTTCCAGAGCTCCATCAAGTGTGACTAGGTTGATGTTCTCCGTGTTGTATTTGGGGATCTTGGTTTTTTCCCTTATGTATGTTAAGGTTTAAGGATTCAGAGGCTGCTGCTATACTAGTTGTCTTCATCTGCATTTGTTGGTGTGTATGGGATAGAAGAGCTAGGTCATCTTCAAAGAACAAATCATGTAGCCACATCCAAGCTCTCCATTGTATTCCGTGCTTTCCCTGAGATGCGGAGGTCTTCATAATCCAGTCGACCACCAGATGAAAGGAAAAGAGAGAGAGAGAGAGTGAGCAGCCTTGTCTAACACCGATTTTCACTTGGAATGAGTCTGTCAGCTGTCCTCCATGCACGACTTTGCAGTGTAGTCCGTCGTATGAATTTCTCATGATGTTGACGGTTTTCTCAGGTACACCATAGTGTTAGAGAAGGTTCCTCTATCCACACTGTCAAATACTTTCTCAAAGTCAACGAAGTTGGTGTATAGTGACGAATTCCATTCAATTGATTGTTCAACGATGATCCGTAGTGTTGCGATTCGGTCTGTACACAACCGATCCTTAGTGAATCCGGTCTGTTGATCTCGAAGTCGGGCGTCTACTGAACCTTTCATCTGGCTCAACAACACTGTTGAGAGCTTTTCCTAGTACCGATAGTAGTGCATCTGATTTCAGTACTCCAGCTGGTTTAGTCAGGTTGCTGCTTTCCCACTCTTCATTTGTCTAATAGCCATCCATCGTTGGTGGAGTGATATCTATATGAATGTCTGTGTGTGCTGCTTCAATGTCCAGTGGGTTCAGTGAGACTGGTCTGTTCAAGAGTTCTTCAAAGTCCTCTACGCAATTGTCCGGTTGTTCTTAAATTTCAGTGATTGGCTTGCCTTCTTTGTTTTTGAATAATCTCTCTGGTTTACAATATTTCTCTGTGAGCCTCTTCATTGTTTTATATAAACGTTTCACATTTCCTTCTCTTGCAGCTTTTCCCTCTGTCATTACTAGTTCTTCGATGTGTTTCTGCTTGTCAGCTCTAATGCTCTTCTTCGCTTGCTTGTTTGCTTCTGTTTATTCAGCTTGTGCCTTGACTTTCTCTGTTCTTGTTTGACTGCTGTTAATTGCTGTCTTCTCGTTCTTCCGTTCTTGAATCTTGACGACGGTTTCGATGGAGGCCCATTCTTCGTGATGATGTTCCTTGGAGCCCAGAACGTCTTGACACGTTGAAGTTAGTGCCACTTTAATCCATT